GCCTGCTCGATTCCAACTGGCTCCATCATCCGAAGCGTTCGCCTTGTACACTTTTGGCCCCGAAACCCAGGAGATTTTTCGTACAGTACATCTCGCTTCAGGGCGAGATTCGACATTATCCTGAGTCGTCAGGGCTGAACCTACAGCGTTATCCTGAGTTTCAGTACGCAAAATAACCATTATACTGATTTTACAGGACAAGTAATTCCCTTATGCTGTTTTTTCAGGAGAAGCACACGACACCTATCCTGAATTCAGGAGAATCAGGATAAATTATCCTGATAACATAGGCCCTGCATGGCATCCTTCGTGCCAGGTGGTAAACTTCTCATGTTCTGATTGGTTGCCACTAATAACCCTGTACCCTCTTGACTGTTTTGGCCTCGCAGCACACAAAGCCAGAGGTACGTGTTTCCCTCCAATGCTGGCATCGTGGTGCTGGTGTGGTGTGCTGAGCAAACCATACTCGATGCTATCATAATTCCCCATACTAGCAAAGAAAATCAGTGTTTATGTTATTTAGAACACTGATTGATCAGTGTAATTCTTTTGTGAACACTGAAAAATCAGTGTTTTTTAGATGATGACACTGAAAATCAGTGTTAGTCCTCAAAGAACACTGAGTGATCAGGGTGCCCCAAAACCAATCTGAGGCCCTGCTGTGAACATGAGACTCTGTAACTCCTGTACTTGGACAAAAAAAACGTTGACTACAAACAAGCACATCCACACATCTACAGGAAGGTGTCCAGACCAGACGCTTATGTGATTGAATCTATAAGCTCTTCCAACGGCGCCAGCTCCTTGTTGTCAATCAAGTTGAACTCCTGACATGGGGTTAGGGAAGTCATGACCAACACAACAAATAACATGCTCAGCAAAGCAGGGTGCAAAGAAACAGGAAACATTTGCAACAAGAGAGAAGCATGGGACAGGGGCAAAGGAGGAGAGGCGGCAGAGATTTGGCTCCTTGGAAGAGGGGGGAGGGGGGGGGGGGGGGGGGGGGGAGAGTGAGGGGGGACGGAGGGGGTATGGAGGGCAGAAGCGTGGGTTGGAGGGGAGTGGGTTTTGGAGGAGGCAAAAAGCGTGAAAGAAAGAAAGAGTGACAAGGCAGACCAGGGGCAACTCACATGTGTGAAGAGGATGAAGTGTTTGAAGCAGGTGTTGAGGTGAGCCTCCTCCTTGAGGCTGACGATGCGCTGGAAGTGCGAGTGGTAGATGTGTGCATACACTCGGAACAGCCGCTTGAAGATCGTGCGAACCACCTTCTCAAAGTGCGGAGGAAACGGAACTCCTGTAGTGTGAATCAATGGAGTGGGCAGTGTGGAAATGGGATGGAGCAGAAAGGGGGGTTGGGACAGGGCACAGAAGTACTAGAATACATCCACCACGACCCATGGGGTGACTTTTGAGTTGACTCAAAAGTCAGGGCACGAAAGTACTGTAATACATCCACCATGACCCAAGGGGACATGGACGAGCCACAAGGAGAGCAGGGGTCAGGAGGAGGCTGGCCTAATCAAACCTTTGAAGGAAAATGCAGCATTGATCAAAACATTGTGGGAGCAGGCACTCAGGGGTAGCCATTGTGGGGGTAGACATTGAGAGAATAGCATCCTGGGAGTGCAGCACAGACCTAGCAGCACGGACCTAGCTTTTGGGGGAAGATGGTGCTGTCGTCGAGCTGCGTCTCGATCCAGTCCATGAGGAACTCCACGTACTTGGGCGCCGACACCTCCAACGGCTTCTTCACATGCACGCCGTCCGCCCACCGGTACTCGTACCTGCCAGACAAGTTGGCACGGGCGGCCAACAACAAAAATTTGACTTCCCGTTTTCTACCTTGCATAAGCGGAATTAAATTGTGATTTTGAAAACGAGTGCGATATTGTTTCTTAGAACCTGACGGGTACTTAGGAGTGCTTACTTGGGACCGGCGGACATGGTGGGGCAGTGTTCTGGCGTGCAGAACTCAGAGAGTGTGCCGTAGAGAAGATTGACTTGATTGTAGAAATCAACGGCTGGGATACGAAGCGGAAGTGAGAGAATGGACGGGGGAGATGTTTCATTATTGGGGGTGTGCATCCATTGGGGAGACGCGATGGAAAGATAATACACGAAGGAGTCACATCACAACTTACATGAACAGTCGAACGGAAAGCGAGGCAATCGTTAGCGGCACGAAGGCCGTCCTACGCGAAGCTAAGGTAACGGCAAGCCGTCTGATTCAACTCACTGTTGACGGCGAGCCACTCATTAAGGTCTTCGCCTGGCGGGAGCCTGACGGCCTCCCGAAGGTTGCCGCTGCCGAGCGTGGCATCAATGTGCTTGCGGAGCTGCTGACCCTGTACGGACGGAGATCAGGGGATGTGATGGGGGAACACGGGGTAAAGACGGAATCAAGAAAGAAACGACAATGTTCGATCCTGGAGTTGATGTGCTTGCGGAGCGGCTGAAGATGCCAGGACGAGAAAACGAGGTTACTATACAGAAGCAGCATCGATATGTATGATCCTTCTAGCGACACGTTTCAGATAGTGTGACAACCAAGAATGTTTGATCTTTTGATGTTTACGATCAGTCCTTATTCAAAATACACGAGCAATGCATCTAGTAGCGATCATGCGACTAAAAAAAAAAAAAAAAAAAACAGGCCTTGTCAACTTTCTTATAAAGCGACTAGAAAAAAGCCTTAAAAAAAAAAACCCTGTTTCCTGCATTATCGTACCTTGCTTCCTGACGGCGCGCTTTTCTTCGGCCGGAACGTCCGCTGATTCCTGCGCCAAGAAAGAACGACATGTCAATTATCTAACCAGCTATGTGGCCTGCAGATCGAGCAGCGGTCTTCGTGAAATAGCAAAACCAAAAACGAATGGATACTGACTGACGTGAAGTATCCTTGTCGAATAACGATATGAAACCGCAAGCATTTGCGGCAATTAAGGGTTAAGCGCATACCGGCCCACGCCGAAGAGACTCATGTTGCCGTCTATTGCGCCGTCCGCCGACCGCTTCAAACCAGCCACGGGAGCCGCGGAGCTCCCTCCGCGGGGAGTGTTCAGTCGTGGAGGGAAGAAACTAACACCTTACAGTACCGCTTAAACCGACAATTCGAATGCAGCTTCTCACTTTAGTCAGGACAGAAACCTAGCTCATGAAAGCCGCGATGCTGCTGGTGCAGGGAGAGAGGATGGAGACCAGTAACTCGACCTAAAACTAGAAATTGGTATCCAGTGGTGTTACCGTATTTGAAGGCTGGATTGAGCATGGAGAGGATAGTTGGTTGGTTGGTGGAATACTCGTTATGCTACCTCTCCGTAATCTGATATAATGGTTCTGTAAGGACCGTACAGCACAGAAGGCATACAACTACAGTCTTAATGTGGATGGGACCTGTATAGATATTTGTCGCACAAATCCTGGTCACAGAACGAATTTCCCCCGCCAACGAAATTGTTGGTGACTGCCATCCAACTCTGCCACACTTTCGTCCCTGGGCAGCAAAACTTCCCGCCACATACCTGTGAAAAGTGCCCCAGCCAAGCCCAGACTCCTTGTCAGCCAATGACCGCAGTACAGCGCGCCATTTGCAGAGCGGGACTCCGGCGCCGCACATAAAGTGGAGTGAGTTGACGTGGCTGCCTAGATTGCGCTTGAAACAATCTCGGCAGCCACTGAGTCCCTCACCCAAGAAGATTGGTCTGGGGCGCAAACGCACATCAAACCACACATATTTTGGCTAACACGACTCACAGGCTTGTTCGGTTAAGTGCTTTCTAAAGCGGTAACACTTGCTCATCGGGTTCTGTCAGGAAAATTCCTGAACCCTGAGGAAGAAACAGTGTCCAAAACCCGCGGCATGGACACCCCTGAAAACCCTCCCGTGTCCGTCGGTAGACGATCGCAGTGTGATGTGTGGTGCACCTTGCTTTGGAAGCCGTCCGAAGCGGGAATGGCACGGCAACCTCCAGAATATAGGGTCGTACAGACCATCCTCGCGACTCGCTTCTCCAATCACAGCACCGAACCTGCCCCTGAAAACCTTCACTGTCGCCTCTCCAGGTCGCACACCCAGCTTGAACCGTCGCAACTATTGGGTTCCAGGTGTATGCATCTTACCACTGAACTGACCTGCTGTGTGCGACATGTCTGGTCTCGGGATTCGGAAAGTACTTTTTCCTCGACTCTACTTTCTGACCTCCAGCAGCTTCTAGGCAAAGCGATTCCCAATGCCTGCTGCTAGTTCTGGGTCCGCCATCAGCACTCGAGTTTCCAACTCTTCACAAATCCTTCCCGTACAAGAAGGGAAGAGCCCAGCCCCACGTACTTAGATACCCCATTTCTTCACAAAAGCGCAATCAATTTCCCTTCGACTAGACGGCGCCTCTTTCCTGTCGGCAGCTAAGAGGCAATAGCTTAATAGGCGAACACTCTGTGTCTGTTTCTTCTTTTTCGTTCTCTCTTCTGCTAAGTGTTCAGTCAGCAAGTATATGAAGATCAAAGGCCTACTTAAATTCGACTCGACTACGCGATCAGCCAAGCATGTGGTAAATCACCCACCTTCTGCTCGCCTTAGCCGAACCTGCAGCAGCGCTTTGGAGTTCCCATACCGCAGTCGCTCCCGAACCGTAACCATGGCGTCGCCGGGAAACCTCTGCGCGTGCTCCTACGCCCACAGCAGCCTCTCGTGCCCATATCACTCCCATCACTCCCCCGCTACCGCTTCCGTTCCGTCCTCACCCTCCTCCCTCGTCTCCCCGCGGACTCCTTTCGGCTTCTCCGGTCGCGAAAAAGCTCGCGAAGTTGGCGAAGCGACTTTCACCCGTTCGAACAGTTTCCATTCAGGGTCGAGCTTTAACTACAAAGGCCGGCGGTGGTCCACTGATGCAGCCTCCCGGCCTGCGTCACTCACACCAAGCCCATCTGCAAGCACTCCTAGTCTCCACTCGGAATTCCATGGGGAGAGATTAGTATTTGCGAACGAAGCTTTGACTCCCGGAATGCGGGGGCGTTCCTTTTCCCGCTCCGTTTCCACGTCAGCATCAGGCGGCCGATTCGGGGAATTTGAGGCCATATGGGAAGCGGAAAGCCGGGATGGGGATTGGGACGACGGCGATTCGCCTACCTTTGCCCGCGGAGTGACCGCCACGCTAGGGCGCAGAAGCAGCGGAAACAACGGGAGCAGCGGAAGCGTCGCAGCTGAGTCGTCTTCCGGTTTTCCCAGCCGAAGCGACAGTAGGGTCTTGGGACTGGAGAAAACGGCAGAGACGGCAGAAATGACGGCGGCCGGCGCGGAGCTCGCGGAGGCGATGGCGGAGAGCGGCACGATGGGCCCCGCCGCGCTATTGATGGATCGCTTCGATTGCGACGGCGGCGGTGGCGGTGGCACTGGCGCCGTGTCGGCACGGCAGCGGTTCCCAGATTTTGCCGAGGAGGGCTTGCCACGTGGTGCTCCGAGCACGTCCGTCTTGACTAACGGTTCACATGCCAACCTGCTGACCGGCTCGCTAAGCGGTTTGCCGACTCCGTCAGCTCTGCCAACGTTTTCTGTTTTTCCAAGACACTCTGACTCTGCTGTGCACTTACGAAAGCCCCTGGAAATTTCCGAGCATCTTCCTTCGTCAGCGCGGGCCACGTCAGCACGCGCGCAGCCGGAAATGTTCCGCGGTAAGGGCTCGGCTCGGGGGCTCTTAAACCCTGGCGCGGTGACCCTGCCGCTGTTCCACGTGCGCGAAGGGTTCTGCGCGTCTTTCTCCGCACCCGGGGGAGGGTTTGGCGCGCCCGCGTCGTCCGCGCGACTGAGGCGCCGCGTCACCGCCCCGGCGTTCGCTCCGTTTCTGAAGGCCGCGTCTGCGCCGCCCGCAGCCCCATCCGCCCCTTCCGCGGCCGAGCCTGCGTCAATCGCAACCGGATCTGCGCCGCCCACAGGGTCCTCGGTACAAGCAGCCCCTTTATCGTCCACAGTTGCGTTTAAACAGTCTATACTGTCGGCTATTGGTGCCAAGCCTGCTGCTGGTAACCCGATTCCCGCCACCGCCAAGCCTCCCTCGCGCAGACTCCCCGCGTATTCCCGTTCCGCTTCCCGAACCCGCTCCGCCTCGTCCGCACCCTCCGCTCCCCCCGCACACCTCCGCAGTCCCGATCTCGTCGCGCCGCAATCCCTCCCCGCGCGCCCCACCTCCCCTACGCCCACGCTCCCCCCTTCCCCCGCCCGCCAAGCCCCTCACTTCGCCCCCTTGCCCGAGCGCAAGGCTCCGCCTGCCCTTTCCCCCGCTCTCCCGCAAGAGCTCCAGCCTGCCGGCCGCTCCGCCGGCCGGCCGCGGCGCCTGCCGGCCGTGCACGCGCTGGCGGACGGCGCGCTGGCGCTGCTGGTGCCGCTGGCGGGATCCGGGCCGCAGGTGCTGCAGATGCTGGGCGGCCCGGCGGAGTGGGTGAGGCGGTTCGTGGTGTCGATGGGTCTGGCCGTGGCGCTGTACAGTGTGAGCGTGATCGCCGCCGTGACTGCCGCGTTCTACTGGGCCTGGTGGCCGATCTGGCGCGCTGTGGCGAAGAATCTAGCGATGCGCGTTCGGTACAGACATGCTGGTGAGTGCAATGGTGGGGGAGGGGGAAGTGGGGGGGTAATGGGGGGAAGGGTGGGAAGGGGAAATGGAGGGTGATAATGCTGAAGAGTCCTCTTTTCCTCCTCTCTGTTTTGCAAATTCCGTTTCTTTTACCATTCTTGCTACTTCCATTCTTTCGCACTCCGACTCACTCTTTCTCGTTTTCTCTTTCCCATTCTCTCTCACTCCCTCTTATCATTCCGTCGTTTCGTCAGGGTTGTGGAAGGCGCGGCTGCTGGACTTGCAGGTGGTGCGTGTGGGGAGGCAGACCAGGTGGCGCGTGCTGATTGGCGACCACAGCCGCACCACCCTGGAGGTCAGTTGCGTCTTCGCAGTAGCTTATACTTGGGAAAAATATGTTGATCCACCTCGATTCCAAGACCAGCTGCTTAGTAGCCACCGCGTTTTGAGCTTACGAACGGCTCCTGTACTCGTGTTTGCTCTATCTCCGCTATTTCTATATCTCCGCTATTTCTATATCTCTGCTATTTCTATATCTCCGATATTTCTATATCTCCGCTATTTCTATCCATCCATCCCTGTCCCCCTCTCTCCCTCCCCCAACTTCTCTCTCCCCTTCCCCCCCATTCTTGCCATGCAGATGGAAGTTGTGCCGCCTCACAAGAGTGTGCGCCTGAGCCGCGGCGACCCAGTGGAGCTTCTTGTCCTATCTGACTGCCCCTCGCTCTCGCGATTCCGCGCCGCCCGGGAAATCTTCTTTCCCCAGCGGTCCCTCTGGCTGGTGGGGGACAAGCAGGCGTGTGTGGAGCGGTCAGTGTTTGAGGAGATGAGGAGGAAGGTGGCTTTAAGAGCCGCTGTGGAGGATGGGGAGGACAGTGAGGGGGAGGACTGGGATGGGCTGTACTCGTTATTGACTGATGAAAACGAGCAGCTGCTGCAGAATTATAGTTATAACGAGGCGTCTAGTATGCAGGCGGAGATGGAAGGTGGTGGGGGGAAGGGTGTCGGGGGGAGTCTGGGGGGAGGGTTACCTGGGGTGGGTGGTTTCGATGGGGTGGCTGGGGGTATGTCTGGGGGAGGCGCGACTCTGGGCGGAATCACTTCTTTCCCTGAAGATTTGGGGGTAAAGGAGGAGCAGGAGTTAATGGCCCATCAGGGGTTGTTGGATTACTCTGCGATGGAGGGAGCAGGTTCGGGAGGAGGATTCCGAGACCCGGCGCTGGTTAGTAGCTTCGGCGGCGGAGGCTCGGTAGGGGCGGTGGCGGATGGGTTGGCAGCTTCGTCGTCGTGCCTGATGGATGGTGGAGGCTCGGGGCCGCTGTCTGTGCTTCTGAGTGACAGCCAGGATTCGGAGTTGCTGGAAAGGTTACGGGAGGTATGAAGAGGTGAAGGTTTAGGGAGGTATGAAGAGGTGAAGGTTTAGGGATGTATGAAGAGGTGAAGGTTTAGGGAGGTATGAAGTGGTGACAGATCTGTTGGAGAGGCTGGGAAGAGGTGCTTCTGAGTGACAGTCAGGAGGTCTTGGATCTGGGAGTGTGCAGGGAGTTGGTTCGTGGCTGTGTGAAGCAGGGACAGCACCCCCTGTAGCAGCAGGGTGCTCAGCTTCAGTGGCAGCAGGGTACCTGGCGTCTGTAGCAGAAGGAGGGTGGCTTGTCAAGAGATTCAGTGCACCCCTTGTAGCAGCATGTGTTCGGCATCTGTAGCAGCAGCAGATGCACCAGGCCTGCCAGGTCCAGTCAAGGTCGTGTGGCTGCCATTTATTAGCCATGTCTTTATCATTCTAATGTACTTCAGTGTGTGTGCGCCCAGTGACGGTCTCTGCCCGCCCTGCTGCATGCAAAAGGTCGCCTCTTGCGACTCGGCACCAGCAGGGCAGGGCCTGTAGGCTTGCAAGTACAGACAGGTTCTCGCGACTCCTGCACCAGCAAGGCGGGGTCTGTAGGCCCGCAAGTGCAGACCTCCGCATCGGGCAGAGCGGGGTGCTACTTGGACAGGTTCTCACTAAGCCTCTTGCGACCCTGGCACCGGCCGGAGGTGGGCGTGGAGGCCTGCAAATGGGTGGAAGGGCAGTTGGGCAGGCTTCCAGTGGGCAGATGGGGGCGTGCACGGAGTGTTCACTTTGAAGTTACACTGTAGTCACTGGGCAATGGGTGTACTCTTTCACAACGGACACTGGAACGGCAATGCAGTGTACTGCTGTAGACACTAGGCGTAATGTACGGTAGTATGGTAGGGAGTGTTTGTTTATTTGTTGTAGACTTGCATGTAGTCATGAATATACCTGAACGAAGCGAATTAGCACAGCACCAGCATGCTTTTGGTACCTACTGGAACAGAGCTAGGTAGCTGAAGCCCCCTCAGACAGGTGTCTATAGTAGGATACCACTTTTTAACATTTGGAGAATGCAACAGGTTGAATACACCCCATCCTGTCGAATAAAATTTCTCACTAACCACAGGCTGTTGCGACTTGGTCTTTCTGAAAGCCTGCCAATCAACGTGAGAATAGTACTATGCAGTTAACCCACAAACTATCTGTGCCAAGCTACCTGCTGTTTCAACTTGAACCCTGACATGTCGAAACCTGCCGCAGCGGTCTTGATTTATTTGACTCTAGAAGGCCCGGTATCGAAGCACGGCAGCAGCATTTGCTCGATCTCTTCGCATGTGAACACTCTCACATCCAGAGTCCGATGGCTTTGAATCACGTTCCTGCAGAGAGGGGAGGAAAGGGCAGGGAGGGGAAGGGGGGGAGCATTTGCAATATTCTGAGGCCGCTCAAAACCCCGTCTATACAAGACCCTTACGGTCTTGTGGCTCTGAACCACGTTTGTGCAGTGAGGGGAGGAAAGGGGGATGGCACTGGGTCTATTTTTTAGGGCCCTGGAAACCCAAACAGTAGAAGAAGCACCTCAACAAAGGCAGTCCCACCCACCTGTGTCTAACAATGAAGTCGCTGTATTTGTCCAGCAGCCGTTTGAGAGTCATCTTCTTGACGTGCAGGCAGGGGGGTGCACCACATGGCGAATCGACAAAAACAGTTCCCAACTTACCTGTGCCGAACGATGAAGTCTCTGTATTTGTCCAGTAGCCGTTTGAGTGTCATCTTCTTGACGTGCGCCCGCAACTCCCGGTTAGGGATGGTCCACGCCATGTAGCGTTGCTTCATCTGCTCCACGGTGTAGTTAAAGAGCTTGAGCCTGTAAAGGGGATGGGCGGACGAAATATTAGACAGTCAACAAGGAGGGGGTCGGTAGTGGTTGGGTGTGAAGAAAGGAGGGGATAAGTGGATTGTCAGAGAAGGGGGGCTTGGTGGTGGGTGTGATGGGGGGATAATTGGAATGAGAAAAAGTCAGAAGAGACACATTCTATCTAAGATCTCCAATAGGGAGCTCATAATGAGGATATATCATAGACCCAAGAAGCATGTTCATTTAACGTGATTGACAGCATGAAAACCGGCTAAAAACAGCCAATATTGCCGAACGGTTAGAATGGGAAGCATCGCGTGACAGGGCACACCTTTTTACGAGAGAGGCGGTGTCGAGGCGGTCATCGGACCACACTGGGTCAAACTGCTCATGGGACAACAGGGGGAAACGCGGTCACGCGGGAAATTTGGGAGTGAAGCAGCTAAGCTCTGTAAGAAAAAGGCGGGGAGAGAATTTTCGCAAGAGAGGCCCACCTTACCTGTCAACACACACACCAGGCAGCAAGGCAAACCTAGGCTAGGGGAGGGAGGCACATACTCGCAAGCACAGCACACCTTGGCGAGGGAGGAGTTGATGAATCGGTCGCGATGGCTGTCCACTATGGCCCCGTAGTTGCCAATCCATGCTGTTCCCAGCAACCTGCCTGCGTCCGCACTGTGTGTGCATCAGAAGGGGGAAGGAAGCATGGGGAAAAGGGCAGATCAGGAAAAAGGGAGGAGGAAAGGGGAGGTAGTGAGTGGGTGGGGAATGGATGGACGGTGGTGAGGGATGGTGGGGTGAGAGACGGTGGGTTGACGGGGCGGTGGAGTGGGACTGTGCAAACTCACTCACTACAGGCCTCTTGGATTCCTTTGAAACAAGCCTCCAGAATGCACGCTTCTCGATACTCACGCGTCTATTCTGGTGTGCAAATATACGAGGTTGTTCATGAGAAACAGCTCCCCCAGCGCGTCATCCCTTAGCATGAACACATGGTGCTGCAGGTTCACTATGAGGGCCTCTATGATGTGCGCAGAAGCACACGTTTTGATACTCACGCGTCTATTTTGGTGAGCACATATGCGAGGTTGTTCATCAGGAACAGCTCCCCCAGTGCGTCATCCCGCAGCATGAGCGCGCGGTGCTGCAGGTTCACTTTGAGTGCCTCTAGGATGCGAGCAGCAGCGAAGGCGAGGCGGCCCTGCACGCGCGGCGTGATGATGGATGAGCCGGCCTCGTTGGCGGTGTTGGCCATGTCCTCAAACACGCACTCCAGGATGGAGAAGTACGGCAGGTCGCTGAGGGGGAGGGGGAGGGTGGGTGGGTGGGTGGGTGGGTGGGTGAGAGGATGCAAGGGTTGCCACGGCCTACTCGTTGGTGGTGTTGGCCATGTCCTCAAACACGCACTCCAGGATGGAGAAATATGGCAGGTCGCTGGGGGGGGGAGGGGGAGGGGGAGGGTGGGGAGAACGGAGAGCAGCAGAGGAGGTTTTGGGGCGAGAAGGGGAGGGGAAAGGAGGGGATGCAGAGAGATATGGGTCATTTAAGGACAGGGTTGCTGTGGCTTGCACCCTGGGTGAGAGGATGTGGGTAGTTGGGTGTGGGGTTGGATAAGTGAGGTCGAGGTGGAGGGGTTGGGGGAAAGGGGGGGATGCAGAGGGATATGGGTCATTGAGTCGAGTGAGATGATTGGTCGGGCCTGCACCCTGGGAGTGATGATGAAACTGCTTTCCTGAGACGTCTCGATAATGGTTCACAAGTGAAACCAAAGGGCCAACAGCCCACCTGAGCAGAGGAAACTCCAACAGCCCACCTGAGCAGATGAAACTCCAACAGCCCACCTGAGCAGATGAAACTCCAACAGCCCACCTGAGCAGATGAAACTCCAACAGCCCACCTGAGCAGATGAAACTCCAACAACCCACCTGAGCAGAGGAAACTCCAACAGCCCACCTGAGCAGAGGAAACTCCAACAGCCCACCTGAGCAGATGAAACTCCAACAGCCCACCTGAGCAGAGGAAACTCCAACAGTCCACCTGAGCAGAGGAAACTCCAACAGCCCACCTGATGAGCAGCAGCAGGCAGTTGACGAGGTAGGTCGTGATGGGGTGTACGTGCCTTAGGGCATCTATCCAACCATCTCCACCCCTTCCTCCCATTCCCACTCCACTCCACCCCTTCCCCAGCCCCCACACCTGTTACAGAGCAGCAGCAGGTAGTTGACCACGTAGCTGGTGATGGGGTGCACGTCCCCACTCGCATGAACTGAACCACACACAACCACATCCCCCACCCCATCCCCCTCCCCCTCGCATCCCCCCTTCAATTCTCACCTGTTGCAGAGCAGCAGCAGGTAGTTGACAACGTAGCTGGTGATGGGGTGCACGTCCCCACTGGCGTTGGATGCTGCCACGTCCTGCTGCCCGCCCACCTCGCTCATATTGTCATCTGCCTTGAGCATCATCCTGCGGAGGGTGGGGAGGGAAAGAGGGAGGGGTCGAAGGGAGCGGCGGACGGGGAGGGCGGAGGGGGAAGAAAGGGGAAGGATGTGAGGGGAGGAAATGGATCAAGGGAAAGATGAGGATGAGGGTAAGAAGAACCTGCATCTGTTGAGGTCACCTGAAAACAATACTGTAGTCTGTTTTCAAGGAGATGAAGTAGAGACGATACGGAGAGCAAAGGCACGGAGAGAAAATGCACCTACTTCTTTAGCTTGTTGAGGAACCCTCCGTTCCGCAGCATCTCCGCACGCGGGACGTTTCCTGGCTGACTCATGCTGCCCATGCCCCCCATTCCGCCCATGCCGCCCATGCCCCCCATGCCGCTCATATCCTCCGCGGTTGGCTGTGCCTTCACCGCGTCCTCAAACTTTTCAAACGTGTCTCGGGCTGCCCGCCCCAAAATTGTCAGCAGTTCCTGGTAGTTGTCCCGAACTGCCCGGCCCTCCTCTGCTCGATACAGCTCATCTACCTACAGTCACAGAGGAGGGGACGAGAAAGGGGAGAAGGGAGGAGTGGGTGGGGGGAGGAAGAGGGGAGGAGCGGGGGCACATGGGTGTTAACTATCGTTGAGCGGGGGTCTGCCACTGAGAGGAGTACTCACCCGCAATCGCCTCAGCGTAAGAGCGCGGGGTCAGGATGTTCAGTGCATCCGGGTCTCTCTCAGGGCAAAGTAGCATGGATGCGAAACGAGGGGAAACGACCGCAAGACATTCAATCTCAAACTGCCTGTCCTCAATGACGTCACTGCCAAGGGCAGGCTCACCCCCGACGGACGGAGGATAGACAGACTCAGACTCAGTAGCAACACTCGCGACATAGTCGAGACGACTCCTAGCTGCAAAGTTGACTAGCTCAGTGACTAGGGCAAACGCAGAAGTAGACTGAAAGTCAGGGTCAGTCACTACAGTAGCGAGGAGACGAGTGACAGTACGACTAGCAGCGGGGGCACATGGGTGTTAACTATCGTTGAATAGAGTCACCACGTACCATTGACTTGAGGTCGAGCGTTGTTTTGTGCATGTACAGGAAGGAGCGTTTCTTAGCAGTATTCGGGGTACCATCGACTAGTGTTGACTGATTCAGTACATACCGTGAACTTGAAGTCGAGCATTGTCTCGGACATGTACAGGAAGGAGAAGGGTCGCTCACGGGAACTCTCAAATAGGCATTGACTTGATTGACTAGATTGACTAGCATTGACTTGAGACGTACCGTGGACTTCGTACATGTCGAGGAAGGAGAAGAGGCGCTCGGGGAACTTCTTGCACTTTTGATAGTTCACTAGCGTTGACCTAAGTCAGCACTCACCGTGGATTTGAGGTCGAGTGTCGTCTCGTACATGTCGAGGAAGGAGAAGAGGCGCTCGGGGGACTTCTTGATGACTGAGATGGCGTCGCCGAAGTGCGTGAGCAGGATGATGCAGGAGCGAGAGAGGTCCACAAAGCACTGCTCGCCGTGCTTCTCCAGACCCGCAAACACCTGGTCGCATGCCTCTCTTTCCCCCGCCACCAGAATCATCTGTAGGTGCGCGTTGTGGTACGGGACAAAACAGAGGTGCCCCGCATAAGCACGAGGTCGCACACAAGGGAGAGCAAGGGGGGAACGTGGAGCACAGGGGAAAAAGGGGACCGAGGGGCGGCAAGGGGAAGCAAGGGGAACCGAGTGGGGAAAAGAGGGAGCGTTCGGGGCCGAAGGGGGGCGAAGGGGAGCAAAAGGGGGCATGGGAGGGCAAGGGGGTGCAAGGTGAGGGGAGCCTTCTGGCGTGACCATAACACCTAGTCATGGACTAGGAGGTGGGTGGGTGGGAGGATGCGCATCCCTGTGCGGTTTCAACAACCCCAATGCACATGCCCCAATGCATGTGCTAGCACATCTATTACCCACCCCGATGTGCATGTGCCCATGCTCTACATACCCCAATGTGCACATTCCCAGGATCCACACACCCCGATAAGCATGTGTCCATGCGCCACATACCCCGACGTGCATGCATACCCCCATGTGCATGCATACCCCGACGTGCATGCATACCCCCATGTGCATGCATACCCCGACGTGCATGCATACCCCCATGTGCATGCATACCCCGATGTGCATGTGTCCACCACTCTCCCACACAACCCGATGTGCAGGTGTCCACCACTCTTCCACATACCCCGATGTGCATGCGTCCACCCTCCCACATACCCCGATGTGCATGCGTCCACCCTCCCACATACCCCGATGTGCCTGCGTCCACCCTCCCACATACCCCGATGTGCATGCGTCCACCCTCCCACATACCCCGATGTGCATGCGTCCACCCTCCCACATACCCCGATGTGCATGCGTCCACCCTCCCACATACCCCGATGTGCATGCGTCCACCCTCCCACATACCCCGATGTGCATGCGTCCACCCTCCCACATACCCCGATGTGCATGTGTCCACCCTCCCACATACCCCGATGTGCATGCGTCCACCCTCCCACATACCCCGATGTGCATGTGTCCACCCTCCCACATACCCCGATGTGCATGCGTCCACCCTCCCACATACCCCGATGTGCATGCGTCCACCCTCCCACATACCCCGATGTGCATGTGTCCACCCTCCCACATACCCCGATGTGCATGTGTCCACCCTCCCACATACCCCGATGTGCATGTGTCCACCCTCCCACATACCCCGATGTGCATGTGTCCACCCTCCCACATACCCCGATGTGCATGTGTCCACCCTCCCACATACCCCGATGTGCATGTGTCCACCCTCCCACATACCCCGATGTGCATGTGTCCACCCTCCCACATACCCCGATGTGCATGTGTCCACCCTCCCACATACCCCGATGTGCATGTGTCCACCCTCCCACATACCCCGATGTGCATGTGTCCACCCTCCCACATACCCCGATGTGCATGTGTCCACCCTCCCACATACCCCGATGTGCATGTGTCCACCCTCCCACATACCCCGATGTGCATGTGTCCACCCTCCCACATACCCCGATGTGCATGTGTCCACCCTCCCACATACCCCGATGTGCATGTGTCCACCCTCCCACATACCCCGATGTGCATGTGTCCACCCTCCCACATACCCCGATGTGCATGTGTCCACCCTCCCACATACCCCGATGTGCATGTGTCCACCCTCCCACATACCCCGATGTGCATGTGTCCACCCTCCCACATACCCCGATGTGCATGTGTCCACCCTCCCACATACCCCGATGTGCATGTGTCCACCCTCCCACATACCCCGATGTGCATGTGTCCACCCTCCCACATACCCCGATGTGCATGTGTCCACCCTCCCACATACCCCGATGTGCATGTGTCCACCCTCCCACATACCCCGATGTGCATGTGTCCACCCTCCCACATACCCCGATGTGCATGTGTCCACCCTCCCACATACCCCGATGTGCATGTGTCCACCCTCCCACATACCCCGATGTGCATGTGTCCACCCTCCCACATACCCCGATGTGCATGTGTCCACCCTCCCACATACCCCGATGTGCATGTGTCCACCCTCCCACATACCCCGATGTGCATGTGTCCACCCTCCCACATACCCCGATGTGCATGTGTCCACCCTCCCACATACCCCGATGTGCATGTGTCCACCCTCCCACATACCCCGATGTGCATGTGTCCACCCTCCCACATACCCCGATGTGCATGTGTCCACCCTCCCACATACCCCGATGTGCATGTGTCCACCCTCCCACATACCCCGATGTGCATGTGTCCACCCTCCCACATACCCCGATGTGCATGTGTCCACCCTCCCACATACCCCGATGTGCATGTGTCCACCCTCCCACATACCCCGATGTGCATGTGTCCACCCTCCCACATACCCCGATGTGCATGTGTCCACCCTCCCACATACCCCGATGTGCATGTGTCCACCCTCCCACATACCCCGATGTGCATGTGTCCACCCTCCCACATACCCCGATGTGCATGTGTCCACCCTCCCACATACCCCGATGTGCATGTGTCCACCCTCCCACATACCCCGATGTGCATGTGTCCACCCTCCCACATACCCCGATGTGCATGTGTCCACCCTCCCACATACCCCGATGTGCATGTGTCCACCCTCCCACATACCCCGATGTGCATGTGTCCACCCTCCCACATACCCCGATGTGCATGTGTCCACCCTCCCACATACCCCGATGTGCATGTGTCCACCCTCCCACATACCCCGATGTGCATGTGTCCACCCTCCCACATACCCCGATGTGCATGTGTCCACCCTCCCACATACCCCGATGTGCATGTGTCCACCCTCCCACATACCCCGATGTGCATGTGTCCACCCTCCCACATACCCCGATGTGCATGTGTCCACCCTCCCACATACCCCGATGTGCATGTGTCCACCCTCCCACATACCCCGATGTGCATGTGTCCACCCTCCCACATACCCCGATGTGCATGTGTCCACCCTCCCACATACCCCGATGTGCATGTGTCCACCCTCCCACATACCCCGATGTGCATGTGTCCACCCTCCCACATACCCCGATGTGCATGTGTCCACCCTCCCACATACCCCGATGTGCATGTGTCCACCCTCCCACATACCCCGATGTGCATGTGTCCACCCTCCCACATACCCCGATGTGCATGTGTCCACCCTCCCACATACCCCGATGTGCATGTGTCCACCCTCCCACATACCCCGATGTGCATGTGTCCACCCTCCCACATACCCCGATGTGCATGTGTCCACCCTCCCACATACCCCGATGTGCATGTGTCCACCCTCCCACATACCCCGATGTGCATGTGTCCACCCTCCCACATACCCCGATGTGCATGTGTCCACCCTCCCACATACCCCGATGTGCATGTGTCCACCCTCCCACATACCCCGATGTGCATGTGTCCACCCTCCCACATACCCCGATGTGCATGTGTCCACCCTCCCACATACCCCGATGTGCATGTGTCCACCCTCCCACATACCCCGATGTGCATGTGTCCACCCTCCCACATACCCCGATGTGCATGTGTCCACCCTCCCACATACCCCGATGTGCATGTGTCCACCCTCCCACATACCCCGATGTGCATGTGTCCACCCTCCCACATACCCCGATGTGCATGTGTCCACCCTCCCACATACCCCGATGTGCATGTGTCCACCCTCCCACATACCCCGATGTGCATGCGTCCACCCTCCCACATACCCCGATGTGCATGCGTCCACCCTCTCACATACCCCGATGTGCATGTGTCCACCCTCCCACATACCCCGATGTGCATGTGTCCACCCTCCCACATACCCCGATGTGCATGTGTCCACCCTCCCACATACCCCGATGTGCATGTGTCCACCCTCCCACATACCCCGATGTGCATGTGTCCACCCTCCCACATACCCCGATGTGCATGTGTCCACCCTCCCACATACCCCGATGTGCATGCGTCCACCCTCCCACATACCCCGATGTGCATGCGTCCACCCTCTCACATACCCCGATGTGCATGTGTCCACCCTCCCACATACCCCGATGTGCATGTGTCCACCCTCCCACATACCCCGATGTGCATGCGTCCACCCTCCCACATACCCCGATGTGCATGCGTCCACCCTCTCACATACCCCGATGTGCATGTGTCCACCCTCCCACATACCCCGATGTGCATGCGTCCACCCTCCCACATACCCCGATGTGCATGCGTCCACCCTCCCACATACCCCGATGTGCATGCGTCCACCCTCTCACATACCCCGATGTGCATGTGTCCACCCTCCCACATACCCCGATGTGCATGTGTCCACCCTCCCACATACCCCGATGTGCATGCGTCCACCCTCTCACATACCCCGATGTGCATGTGTCCACCCTCCCACATACCCCGATGTGCATGTGTCCACCCTCCCACATACCCCGATGTGCATGTGTCCACCCTCCCACATACCCCGATGTGCATGCGTCCACCCTCTCACATACCCCGATGTGCATGCGTCCACCCTCTCACATACCCCGATGTGCATGTGTCCACCCTCCCACATACCCCGATGTGCATGCGTCCACCCTCTCACATACCCCGATGTGCATGCGTCCACCCTCTCACATACCCCGATGTGCATGTGTCCACCCTCCCACATACCCCGATGTGCATGTGTCCACCCTCCCACATACCCCGATGTGCATGCGTCCACCCTCTCACATACCCCGATGTGCATGTGTCCACCCTCCCACATACCCCGATGTGCATGTGTCCACCCTCCCACATACCCCGATGTGCATGTGTCCACCCTCCCACATACCCCGATGTGCATGCGTCCACCCTCTCACATACCCCGATGTGCATGCGTCCACCCTCTCACATACCCCGATGTGCATGTGTCCACCCTCCCACATACCCCGATGTGCATGCGTCCACCCTCTCACATACCCCGATGTGCATGCGTCCACCCTCTCACATACCCCGATGTGCATGCGTCCACCCTCTCACATACCCCGATGTGCATGCGTCCACCCTCTCACATACCCCGATGTGCATGCGTCCACCCTCTCACATACCCCGATGTGCATGTGTCCACCCTCCCACATACCCCGATGTGCATGTGTCCACCCTCTCACATACCCCGATGTGCATGTGTCCACCCTCCCACATACCCCGATGTGCATGCGTCCACCCTCTCACATACCCCGATGTGCATGCGTCCACCCTCTCACATACCCCGATGTGCATGCGTCCACCCTCCCACATACCCCGATGTGCATGCGTCCACCCTCTCACATACCCCGATG